ATTTTACACTTTAATCTGTAAATTTTACACTTTAATCTGTAAATTTTACACATTAATCTGTAAATTTTACACTTTAAAGTGTAAATTTTACAGATTAAAGTGTAAATTTTACACTTTAATCTGTAAATTTTACACTTTAATCTGTAAATTTTACACTTTATTTGTTTATTCACATAGTCAAGTTAGCAACTTCACACATTCCCAGTAACGCATTTTAAAGCCAACAGACCGTTAACCATGCAAGATAATTACGGAAGCGTAATATCAATCTGAACTGCAAATAAAAAAATCTTTGAGATATATATATTTTTACTTTTCGTTACACTATAGTAAAACTAAACAAACACATGTATATATACTGAAACAAAAGCAGATTCTTGATTTCTTATGCTGGGGAAAATTAAGAGACCCATGAGGAAATAGTCTATCCTTGTTTATCATATTCTAATAAACAAGTACGAGTACATGTAAAATAAAAATAAACAAACAATTGAAAACATCTCATTTAATACTTTTTCTCAAGTGTCAGAGGTAAAACATCACAATTCGACCGTTCGATCATAACCTATTGCAGTTCAGGTTGTTCAAAATAAAGTGTAATATTTACAGATTAAAGTGTAAATTTTACAGATTAAAGTGTAAAATTTACACATTAATGTTTAAAATTTACACTTTAAAGTGTAAAATTTACAGATTCATGTGTAAAATTTACAGATTAAAGTGTAAAATTTACAGATTAAAGTGTAAAATTTACAGATTAAAGTGTAAAATTTACACATAAAAGTGTAAAATTTACAGATTAATGTGCAAAATTTACAGATTAATGTGTAGAATTTACATATTAAAGTGTAAAATTTACATTTTAAAGTGTAAAATTTACAGATTAATGTGTAAAATTTACATTTTAAAGTGTAAAATTTACAGATCAAAGTGTAAAATTTACACTTTAAAGTGTAAAATTTACACTTTAAAGTGTAAAATTTACAGATTAATGTGTAAAATTTACATATTAAAGTGTAAAATTTACAGATTAAAGTGTAAAATTTACAGATTAAAGTGTAAAATTTACACATAAAAGTGTAAAATTTACACATAAAAGTGTAAAATTTACAGATTAATGTGTAAAATTTACAGATTAAAGTGTAAAATTTACATTTTAAAGTGTAAAATTTACAGATTAATGTGTAAAATTTACAGATTAAAGTGTCAAATTTACAGATTAAAGTGTAAAATTTACACTTTAAAGTGTAAAATTTACAGATTAATGTGTATTATTTACACTTTAATGTGTAAATTTTACAGATTAATCTGTAAAATTTACAGATTAATGTGTAAAATTTACAGATTAAAGTGTAAAATTTACAGATTAAAGTGTAAAATTTACACATAAAAGTGTAAAATGTACAGATTAATGTGTAAAATTTACAGATTAATGTGTAAAATTTACAGATTAAAGTGTAAAATTTACACTTTAAAGTGTAAAATTTACAGATTAATGTGTAAAATTTACAGATTAAAGTGTAAAATTTACAGATTAAAGTGTTAAATTTACACTTTAAAGTGTAAATTTTACAGATTAAAGTGTAGAAATTAAAAAAAAAGTGAAGTGTCAAAGTGGCACTAATACGCTTCCGTATCTTTGACTTTTACCAGTGTCCTTAAGATTATTATTTTAGGCTATAAACTCATCAATATAATTTAAACAGTACGTATTTGGGAATTGAAATTATTTGTCTTTTGGATCATACATTCACACTTTGCTGTTGAAAGCAGTTGAGGTGGATTGAAAATGAATTTCAAACTAGAATTTCAATTGAATGTTTTCTCGGTCGTCCGCGTCGAATTATACCCGCCCATTTCATTGTCTATCTTTGAATGTTTTGATTGTAACAAATATAAGTGACAAAGGCTGCATATTTCCAATATTGCTATATAATGTTCCGCGGTCTTATCAACATTCCAACGGCTCTCCCTTCTATCTAAACGGTCATTTTGCCAATGTTTTGTGTTTTTTAGTTAAACTAGTTTTTAAAATTTGATAATCATTACAAAAAGGTATCAATTACAATAAACACGTGCCGCAAAGTACAGATTTTATTGTTTTAAAGCTTCGTCATGGAACATTGGTTTTCATCGGTGATGTTTGATTTTCCTTCTAAAATTGTTAAGAAGACTCATTTGTTGTAATAATTTGAAAATATCATACCATTCTATAAAGTAGTTTTCAAATAAATACATTTATCAAAGTGAAGACTTAGAAGTTTTGTTTTTTGTAGTCTATAGTAAAGATAGTAATCGGAAGCAAACTGAAAGTGGAGAAGTGGGGGGGGGGGGGGACCAACAATTTATTAGATTATTATGTAAAAAAGGGTAAACAAGTCGACAGAGTTATGCTGATGGCAAACTAGCCACATTTGTGAAAGTCAAACTCATACAAAATTGGGGTTATAAGATTATTTATCAGTTATTAAAATTTTTCATCACAGAAAATCTTCTTTAACAGACCCCCCCCCCTTTGTAATACATATTGTGACCACGCCCTATCACCAGGGGTCATGATATGGACAATTTAAAATCTACACTACGCCAAGATGTTTTCACATAAGTTTCAGCTTTTCTGGCCCAATGGTTCTTGAGAGGAAGATTTTCAAAGACTTTCCCTATATATTTCTATGTAAAACTTGGATTCCCTATTGTGGCCCCGCCCTACCCCCAGGGGTCATGATTTGATCAATTTAGAATCAACATTACCCAGGATGCTTCCACATAAGTTTCAGCTTTTCTGGCCCAGTGCTTCTTGAGAAGAAGATTTTTAAAGTTTTTTCCTATTTATTTCTATGTAAAACTTGGATTCCCTATTGTGGCCCCGCCCTACCCCCGGGGGTCATGATTTGAACAATTTAGAATCTACACTACCCCAGGATCCTTCCATATAAGTTTCAGCTTTTCTGGCTCAGTGGTTCTTGAGAAGAAGATTTTTAAAGTTTTTCCTATATATTTCTATGTTAAACTTGGATTCCCTATTGTGGCCCCGCCCTACCCCCGGGGGTCATGACTTGTAGAATCTACACTACCCCGGGATGCTTTCATATAAGTTTCAGCTTTCCTGGCCCAGTGGTTCTTCAGAAGAAGATTTTTTAATGACCCCACCCTATCATCTGGAAACTGGATGGGAACCATTGGAAAATAGAAGAAATCGAACAAATCTAGTAACAATGTATAAAATACACAATAATTTAGTACCTACTTATATTCAAAATATAGTACCTGATATTAGAGGCAACATTTCACAATACTCTACTAGAAATTCCTCCAATTATTCCTTGCCAAAATGCAGATTAGAATTATTCAATAAATCCTTTATTCCAGATACTGTTAGAAAGTGGAATGCAATTAAAATTAACATAAGGGAGGCAACTTCTATGAAAAGTTTTAAAAAATGCTTGTCAAGCAATATTGTAAAACCTCCAAAGTATTTTTCTTTTGGTAAGAGATTTTGGAATATTATTCACACAAGGTTAAGACATAATTGTATTTTAAATTCTGACCTATTTCACTGTAATTTAATTGACAGTCCGAATTGCTCATGTGGACAAATAGAGGATTCCTATCATTTGTTTTTTGTTTGTAGAAAATATGCAACAGCAAGATATTCTCTAATGAATAAGTTATTATCATTCAACAATTTGTACATTATAGATGTCCATTTGATGTTATGGGGTGTTGATTCATTCTCTGATCAACAAAATGTAGAAATTTTTAAAGTTATTCATACCTTTTTAAAAGAGTGTGGTCGATTCTCTGAAAAATCTTAATTTTTTGTATATATAGTATTGTGTTCTGGTATCAAGAGTTTACTGTCTTTGACACTACTAATTGTTACCGAAAATAATTGTTCTTTATTTTGGCAATATTATAAAAAATTTTGTATGAGGAGAAGACTATCTAAGTTGTCAGAACTTGTGTCTTATCCTTTTGGCTTTAATTGTCAATAAAATATGTTCAATTCAATTCTATTTTTGTATTTTCTTGATTATCTCCCCTTGGAAGGGGTCTTGGCCCTTGATTTTAACAATTTAAATTCCCCTTCACCCAAGGATGCTTTGTACCAAGTTTGGTTAAATTTGGCCCAGTGGTTCTTGAGAAGAAGTTGAAAATGTGAAAAGTTTACAGACGGACGGACGGACGGACGGACAGCTAGACAGACGGACGGACGGACGACGGACAACGGGTGATCGGAAAAGCTCACTTGAGCTTTCAGCTCAGGTGAGCTAAAAAAATATGATCATCAAAGAAAAGAAATATTTCAGATTATTAGTAATAAATTTCCATACTTCCCAGCTTTAGATGAATAAAAACTTTATTGGTTACTCAATATAGAAGATATTAAGGAAACTCTTAATTTTGGGGGCAAATTTATAAATGATAACATGTTATAGTACGTGGTATAAGTCGATCCTTTACACATGTACTTGCATATTGATCTATTCCTTTTAATTGAAAAACGATTATTGTTGAAGGAAGGATATGGAAATAACGAACAGTATTCAATCTCAACGTCCATTAAACAAATATACAAAATAAGAGCAGAGCAAACACGGACCTCCGAAACATCAGAGGTGGGATTTATGTCAATTACTAATTGTTTGCTATGCATTGGCTTATCTTTTCATTTATTATTTTAATAATCGCATTTTTGTTTATTCTGTTCAAGTAAACCCCAAAGCTAAGCCTCCCCCCCCCCCGGGTCCCACGCCTATTGTAATGATACATGCATATATCTTCCACTTAATTTATCTTGCTTTTATACGAGCGTATACAATATCTCATGCAACTCGCACACATACCTCTCTCTCTCTCTCTCTCTCTCTCCCTCACACACCCTCTCTGTCACACATCCCCACATCCTCCCTCTCTCTTTCACCCTCTCACACACACCCTCATCCTCTCTCACACATACACAGTGACACCCCCCTCTCACAAGCACATCATACACGTACCTGCAACAATAAGGTTATGAACAAAACAAAACGAATGATCTCCATGTTGCACGCTACTGTTCATCTATTTTTAGCTTTGATTTTCAGAAAATGTTTTGATCCGGAAATTCCAATTTTATTTTTAGCCTAGCCAGCGACAATATTTGGCAAGTTTTCGCTCAAGATGCGATAGGACCAAGATATTTTTATTGTTTTATTGAATTTGTGTTTGATGAACATCGGATGAACTAAAATTGTAAGTTTTTACCGCCTTTTGTTGGGCCATATAGGCCTAATTGCAAAATGCATAGGCGCTTGGGTCAAGGATACTGTATTTTTTCTATATAATGTATTGTCGAGGAAATTCGAACAATACTCGTAACATTTTTTTTCAGTGTGCAGTGTTAATTTTTAGTTTTTTGTAAACCTTTCTGCTTCATATACACTAGAATGTCGCGGAAATTCGATTTTATGCACGCTTTAAAAATGACATATCCCACTGTATACTAAAAAGAAACAAGGCTTGCAACTTCATTTGCCCCTTTCCGTGCCCCAGACTCGATTTTTTCCTGTTAAAAGTTATATGCGCCGCTTACCAGCTGAATTGCGAGTCCCCATCTCTGCAAATAATTCTTATACAATGATAAAAATCCTCAGGTATAAACTTTTCATCCATCTTATATTTTTAAATAATTATTTTCGGCATTTTTCGCTCGTTTAATTTTTGTAATCACGGAAGTCCCCGGAATTACAACGTCCAAAACCCAAAACGGGCGGACAGAAAATTATTTGACAGCTCTGAAAATCGCAGGGATCAGAGTATTTGCCGATTTAAACTGTCTAAAACTTCTTACCAAATCACTGACAATATAATATTATTAACCTGTATCATTTACCAAAGGAAATTAAACTTTAATAGATAGACGGAAGGGGGGGTCTCGTCCACTTGTTCAAAAGTGTGTACTAATCGAAATCAATCAATGCGTGAAAACTTAAACGAGCAAAAAAAAATTAAATGAAGAAATTAAAAAAAAAACAAAAGAAAGAAAAGAAAGAAAGAAAAGCTGTTTAAACATAAAACTGTATTTCATGAGAAAGGTGTGTGAAGTTCAATAAATATTCAATGGGCATAAACTCTCTCTCTCTCTCTCTCTCTCTCTCTCTCTCTCTCCCGAAAAGATAAAATAACCATTTGGCACCAAAGTGTAAAACGTGTGAAGGGTAGAAGGCTTTCGTTACGATGAAAGAAATATACTGAGGTAGGGGACAATGTACATGTAGATGCCAACTTGAATATCCCCCCTCCCCCCCCCCCCCTTTCAATGCGTAAAGGATTTTTGATTAAGCAACGAATTCTGGCGTTACTGATATGTGTTTTGAGCTGCATATTCAAAACTAGATTTTTTGTATTTTTTTTTTTTTTTTTGGTAAAAAATATTTTTTATGCAATCAGATAAGTTTCAACTGGTAAATATATTCTGGCTGCAGGCATATACACACCTTTCGTGTCTTTCAGAGCAATCACCTGTAGTTATAGTAAAGAAAAACATGCAGTTGTTGTACAAATAAACTAGCCGAAATGTTTAATATATTCTTAGATTTATCTAATAATGTTTCGCCTAAAATACAAGTGTGTTAGATAAGGTATAACCCCCCCCCCTTTTCCGTCTATCTATTAAAGTTTAATTTCCTTTGGTACATGATACAGGTTAATAATATTATATTGTCAGTGATTTGGTAAGAAGTTTTAGAGAGTTTAAATCGGCAAATACTCTGATCCCTGCGATTTTCAGAGCTGTCAAATAATTTTCTGTCCGCCCGTTTTGGGTTTTGGACGTTGTAATTCCGGGGACTTCCGTGATTACAAAAATTAAACGAGCGAAAAATGCCGAAAATAATTATTTAAAAATATAAGATGGATGAAAAGTTTATACCTGAGGATTTTTATCATTGTATAAGAATTATTTGCAGAGATGGGGACTCGCAATTCAGCTGGTAAGCGGCGCATATAACTTTTAACAGGAAAAAATCGAGTCTGGGGCACGGAAAGGGGCAAATGAAGTTGCAAGCCTTGTTTCTTTTTAGTATACAGTGGGATATGTCATTTTTAAAGCGTGCATAAAATCGAATTTCCGCGACATTCTAGTGTATATGAAGCAGAAAGGTTTACAAAAAACTAAAAATTAACACTGCACACTGAAAAAAAATGTTACGAGTATTGTTCGAATTTCCTCGACAATACATTATATAGAAAAAAATACAGTATCCTTGACCCAAGCGCCTATGGCAAAATGACTCGATATGATTCATATCTAGTATAATTATGATACAGACCATGCAAACAGTATAATTTTAGGTATTTGGTTTGTGTGTGATTTACTTTATTTTCCATTACTTTTCTTAAGAATAATGTCATATTTCCAAATTATAACTTACAAATCAAAAACTAAAGTAATTTTTAAAACAGAGAGTCCTGGGAAAAATTATTTTGTTTTTGTATGGAATCTCGTAAAGGAAAAAAATTAAATGACATTAATACTGTATAAAGTATGGCAAGTCAAACGTTGCAATATTCGATCTTTTCCATTTGTATTGTAAATTTTCCATTTTGTATTGTATAATTTTTATTTGTATTGTATAATTTTCCATTTGTATTGTAAAAAAGTATACATATAAGTATATATAATTTTCCATTTGCATTGTATGATTTTTCATTTGCATTGTATATTTTTCCTTTATATTGTAAAAAATTATTTGTATTGTATAATTTAGCATTTGTATTGTATATTTTCCATTTCCATTGTATAATATTTCATTTGCATTGTATAATTTTTCATTTGCATTGTTTATGATATTATTATTATTTGTTTATTATTGTGCATTATATAACAACCAAGCTGTATGATAAACGTGATGACTTTAACTTTTCTATAGTCAACTTCCCTTATGCAGCAATATACCTTAGGTTTATCACCTGCATACGGAGTATATATATATATATATATCAATTGATTCGATACGCAAGAACATGCTCTAAGTATGAACAATTTCTAAAACGAAATAAATTATTGACAAGCAAGTTGATTAAAGAAGAATATCAGCAGACTCGTTTAAAGTCATCATTTAGTAAGTTTTACGGTCGATACAATGACCTTGTCAGACTATACAATTTATCATTGAGTCAAATGCTGACTGAAGTTTTTCATATCAATTGTTAGTCCATTATTTATACACCGAATTAAAAACGTATTTTTCCGTTTTTACCTGATCATGACAAGGAGCACACGGCAGGTGTGACCGGTCAGCAGGGAATGCTCACTCCTCCATGGCACCTGATCCCATCTCTGATGTTTTGGAGGTCCTTGTTTTCTCTGCTCCTATTTTGTATTGTTTTATGGACTTTGATATTGAATACTGTTCGTTATCTCCATATCCTTCATAATATAATTTTTTTTATCCGCCGAAACATGGCTGAAAAATTGCCGACTCGGCGTTAAACAATATTTAAACAATCAATCATAATATAATTTTTCATTTTTATTGTAAAAAAATCATTTTTTTTTTCAAATTTGTATTTGTATACTTTTTTATTTGTATTCTTTTTTTTCCCATTTGTATTGTATGATTTTTCATTTGCATTGTATCCGAGGAATTGTTTATTTTGGAGCGTGTCAACTCGACGTGATACGACCCTTCGGATCAAGTTACTGTTATAATATTATATATATATATACTGAAAGGAAAATGAAACGCAGGGTAAACTTTTGAGGAGAATTAAATTTGTTTTTCTTAAAATATGTTTTAGTTTTCCTATCTAACTTTTAAAATCATTTCTCAAAAAGATATAACCAAATTCCCATTTGATTTTGTGTAATAATTCATGACTTATTGTTCAAAGCTCAAATGAAGATACCCCCCAAAAGTGAAAATCAAAAACTCTCATTATCTTCAATGTCTCTCCCGTGCATTTGTCAGAGCCTTATTTCTCCTTTGCATGGAATTTCATCAGAGTGTTTATCTTTCAAACCCTTACTATATTTCGCATGGGTAACCACGCAAAAAAAAAAAGTCAAACGGCGTACGCATGCGCCAGTGAGAGGAATACAACTGTAAGTTGACTGGCTCAAAAAAAAACCAAATTGCGGAATTGTTTTCTTTCAAATTTTGTATGAATGTAATGATTATAATCGTCTACTGTATAGATGGCTGTTTTTGTGGTAGTAAGGTGGCGATTTAAGAGATGGCAGGACGAATAACCCGCTCGTAACATGGATCTGTTTCACGTTAACGTCATCGTTACGGTTGATTGAAAAGCATTCCAGACCCTCTCTGACAACGGGTTGCAAATTTTATGGAGGAAAATTTACAAGAAACTGCTTAGAAAAGACTTGTTGCCTTTTTCATTAATTAGGCAATACGAAAACAGGACCCCGTTGATCTTCCGTAAATTGTGCAAAGATTGCAAGATATTCATAATGTCTCTTAATATTGAAAAAACGATGTGCATACCTCATATGCATCAAATAGTGCAACAAGATTTGTTGACAAACTCGTCGTTATCAAATTGCACGTGTTTTGGGCTTTTTAGCGTTTTCCCTACGTGACGTCATAAATTTTACGGTTGAGTAATTCTGAATACTGAGTTTGGTGCACAGTAAAACTAAATATCTCTTCTGACCAATTTTCCTAATTTTCGGTCATGTGGTCAAAATTTTGTCGAACATTAGGCTACCCTGCGTTTCTTTTTCCTTTCAGTATATATATAGGATTTAATAATACCCGAGATGTTCCGGGAAGTTTACACGTGTTGGTCAGTCTGAGCATTCACATTCCCACATACACCCCTGTCAACGCTCGTTGTACAAGATTCTTGTAAAAATTTTAAACGGTGGAAATTTGGAGTTTATATAGTAATTAATTATTGTAATTATCGATGAAGATGATGATTCATCATTTATTTAAAATATATAATCCCTTAAAACGACTGATTTTCAAAGTTTTAAGGGAACTATTTTGCGGAGTAAAAATTAAAACTTTAATTAAAAAATATTAGTCTTTTAAGGTGTAATAAATTAAAATAAACATTTTGATAAGAAATACGATTAAAAACATTTATTAATATAAGTTTGAATCGTTTACATTTTTTCTAAGAATCTTGTAAAACAAGCGTTGACAGAAGTGTACATGTGGGAGCGTACGGGCGTAGCGGGAACGACAACTCTGGATTGCGAATACACAATATGGGTTTAAATTGACCAATAAAATCCCTTGTAACGAAACAAATTAACATCTCTCGAATACAATACAAATAAAAAAATTATACAATACAAATGGAAAATATAGAATACAAATGAAAAATATACAATACAAATGAATTTTTTTACAATGTAAATGAAAAATTTTACAATGAAAATAAAAATACAAATTGAAAATATACAATACAAATAAAAAAAAATTATACATATAAAATAAAAATTGAAAATTATATAATACAAATGATTTTTTTCACAATATAAATGAAAAATTTTAGAATGCAAATGAAAAATTATACAATGCAAATTGAAAACATACAATACAAATAAAAATTATACAATACAAATTAAAAAAAATTGGAATATTGCAACGTTTGACATGCCAAAATAAAGGACTTAACGTAATCAGATTAAGGGATAAAGATGGAAATTCATGGTTTCTTCAAAATATTTTCATGAAGCAAAATATTGAATGAAATTATAAGCTTTATTGTTTTACACAGAATTTATTTGAAAATTATTTCAATATCTGAAGAAAATAATGCCTCTAAAATAAGGAAAGGTTTCCAACCAACCATGACGGCGACATTGGCAGACAGCAATAAACCTTAAAACCGACAGAAACTCTTCAATCTATTTGGGTCTGCGAGCTCGGCAACTTTACGCAATCCCCCTTTCCTTAATTTAAAACAAGTATATATTGACAAAACATCAGAGATACTCAAGCTGTAGAAAGCCAACTAGGAAGTGTCATTAATATCCTAAAATGGAAAACGTTTTGTCAGTATATACTTGTCGATATATAATACACTCTTACATTTTCTTAAAATTAAAATAAGGGGAGGGGGTATTGATCCACACTTCAGGTGCCTGCGTTACGTATCTTATATATACCGATGCGTAATGTTTTTTAGCATGTTCACGCCTGAAAAATGTAGCCAGTGATCACAAACATTAACAGCTACAAAACTAGCTTGATGCAAATTTTCTTATTTTTCCTACCTCGAAAATTTATGGGATTAACCCTGGCAGGAGGGTTTGATGGCTTAAGCTTAAAATGCTATATCTACTCTCGATTCACCTTGTCAGAAGGGTTGAATTTTCTGCGAGGGAGATGATGAGGATTTTCACTTTCACTTTTGAGGGTTCGATATACGAATTTCAAATAATTTATGAATTATCAGTCAAATCTTTAAAAAAAAAAATTGCCTTTAAGTTGACTCATGATTAAAGATGAAACACAATGTAAATGTTTGATAACAATACTCATGATAATGGAAAATACATTTGATTTATTGATTGATTGTAGGTTGTTTAACGTCCCTCTCGAGAATTTTTCACTCATATGGAGACATCACCATATGCAAGTGAACGGCCTCAAATTAAAACCTATACTTGGCACTCAAGGTCATTGAGCAGTGAGAGTTCTTTAACGTGCCAGCGCCTACCGCGACACGGGACCTACGTTTTTAAGGTCACATCTGAAAGACCCGTGACTTTCACTTCTAATGCCGAGCGTTTAGCGAAGGATTAGTCAATACCTATGTTTACGTCTTAGGTTTGACGCAGCGCCGCAAATCGAACCCGGACCTCTGAAAATACATTTGAAATAAAATCTAAATTTTATTCAAAAGTTCATATAGCGTTCCTTTTTTCTTACAGTATATAAAGCACAAAGAAAAAATCACTTTTTACAGCGTGCTATCTACCGCTCGGCAAGTAAATAAACTTGTATTCGCGGCCAGTGAAAAAAAAACTTGCATTCGTTGACGGTGGAACTCTCGTGACGTCGCCATTTAGACAACCCACCGGTAATTGTTTTCACTTTATGTTTCTATATGGGAAAAAATCTTTTAAAAAATCAGGGAAAATAATTCATGAAAAATATTTGACAGGGATTAAAAAGAACATTACAACTATCATCAGCTGAGTCCAAAAATAAGGTACATACAGAGTATTTTCTGATTTCTTTTTTTCAATCTTCAAACTGGATTACCCTCAAAACCACGTGTTTTCAATGTGTTTATCCTCCGTTCATCCTTGGAAGTAGCCATCTTCATTAGTACTTTGTATGGACTTGTGAGTTTTTAAGTGACAGTGATTTGTTAGCTTAGCTGTTTTAGATCATGTTTAGAGGTAGTCCACTCCAGCATTTCTGCATTTTCAATTATACTAAGACATGCTGAAAAGATCTGGTAATCTTAAATTAGAAATGCAAAGTACGTACTTCATGAGTTTATTTTCAAATAAAATTTATGGGAAAACACTGATGCACGAATTATTGTACAGTAAAAACACAAGTCGCACCCCTTAATATTAACTCTTTAAAAAAATCTTATACTTCTTTCAGAATTAAATAGAAGGACCGCTCAGTATTTGTAATAAAACAGTAAATTTAATTTTATGCATAGTGTTTGATTTCAGGAATTTTTTATTATGTGAAAAACACTTTTTTTGAGTAATTTATAGAACGAAAACTCAGAATTTTTATTTGATACTTCACAAACAGTTTCCGAATTCATATATGAATTTGTGCGATCTATATATTATTTCATGACATTTCACTTTGAAATGATAAAAAATAGATGTTTTTTAATTGAATTTCTCTACTGCGCTATATATCGATGTCACGATTAAGTAATGCTGAGAAATATTTTTTTTAAACTTCTATTAGAATTAGTAGACTTTTTATCATTCAGATAAAAACAAGACTTTTATCGGCATTTTTTTCTTTTGAAATACACAGAAATTGTTGTACCATGATAATTGGGAAAAATATTCTGTTGAATTAAAGGCGTCTTTTGCATTTTTCTTAGAGTCAGACAAATATGGATTCCATAGAAATGGAAAGTTTATTACAAGAAGGCGAGGGGTTTTGTGACCACAGTGACCTAAAAATAGAAAATAACATCAGTGCAAGTTGTGAATCAATTTCAGGAAGAAAGTATTTTAGGGATCTTTCACCAGATAAGGATTTCCATTTATATGTGTGTTACTGTGAGGAAGACTATGTTGAAGTTAAGCCGATATGTGTCCGGTTAGAAGAAGCCTTTGGACTTAAATGCATGATTTTTAAGCGCGATTTTCCACAAGCAGGATTAATTGAGGATATGTGTAAGAATGCGTTGGAAAAATGCGAAAAAGTTCTGATATTTCTGAGTCCAAACTCCAGGAACAGTTATTGGTGTTCCCTTGAAATAAGGCATGCTTGTATGAATACATTTACTAACTTGGACGATTTCAACATCATCCTTGTTGAATTGTATCCAGTAGAAAAGCCAGCTTGTTTGCAAGGTATTAAACACATTAACCCTACAGAAACAGAGGACGTTGCAGCCAGTATTCATGAAGCTTTTTACCACCCAGGTATGTACACACACCAATAGGTGATTTCAATTAGAGAAACGACAGTTTAACCAAAAAAACTAAAACATGTTTCAAAGTTAATGTTCGTAAACGAAACAATGACCTTTATTACTTTTTCTTCTTTCACAGAAATCACAAATGAACTTAAAGAAATTAATAGGAAAGGTAAGCGTATTCGAATTGTTTCTCGTATGGAAGAAATTGCATATACCGGTGTTATCGTTCACTATGAAAAAGGATTATTAAATATTTCTGTTAAACGTAAACATTATAATTTTTTTTATTTTGAAGATATTTTTTTGAAGATTTTTATTATGAGCAAAATAAAACAAGAGGCCCAGGGGCCACATTGTTCATCTGAACAATTTGGCTAGGAAAAGCAGAAATCCTATCAGTATTGTAAAGTTTTAATATAAAAAAGGTTTGGGGTATGGTTTGAACAATCTTGGGTCAACACTTTCTGAAAATACTTTTAAACTTAAAATGAAATATAATTCCTATTCTTTTCTTTAAAATATATTGATATATCTGTGTAACTATGATCCCCTGTTATGACCCTTCTATTCTCTTCGGGAAATGAATCAACGCTTTCTGAGGAGGCTTTCATTTCAATATGATCAATTATGACTTTGATGTTTTTGAGAAGAAGATTTTTGAAGATTTTTCTTAATTTTCCTATGTAAATCTTTGATTATCTATTGTGGCCCCACCCTAACCCATATGAATATAATGGCAGTGTCGATGCTTTGCCATGGGAAATCCAAAATATGTGAGAGGAATTGCGGATAAAAGATGAGTACCCCAAAGCGCAAGAGACGGAGGATATCCCGATTACTATATATATATAAGATTGCGCCCATGGGAAAAGGGCCCTTATGGCAATTTTTATACATTTTGAGTTTTTGACGGATTTTGATAGAGTAAGGTTAGAAGTTACCAAATATGAATTTTTATGATCCTACGTCTACTCTAAGTAGGTTTTTTCTTCATATTTATTCAAGATACTTTAACAGGTTCATAATGACGTCATGTTTTTCAACAACGTCAAACGTTTTCGAGTGAACGTAAAATGATTTTCTTCAGCAATTTTACTACGGTAATTAATAGTTGTATAATATTTAATATTTACCAATGCATATCATTTTTATCTCATTGTCTCTTTTAATTATTAATAATTATTTAATAGTTATACATGTATATAACATATTATGAATTCATCAGTGGTGTATAGAATTATGAGTGAGTGCTTGTTTTACATTTCGCTTTTCTCTGACACCAGGGGGAGACCTGAATAGCGGGCGACATCCATTCAGTTTTTTTTTAAACAATTATTTTCTCAAACAAAATATTTACTAGTAATCCATGCAAGAGTTATTTGATAAGCCTGCACAATTCATAAGAAAATTATTTGAATTTAAACATTGCTCTCAATATGTAACTTTTTTGTCTGAATTCAGCGTAAAACTATATATCTCAAGTTATCTTACATGTGAAAATTAATTTTTAAAAAATTATATCTGGAACAAGAATACGCTACCTAAATGCTCCTTCAAAGTGAAAATTTATTTGATCGTTCTTTTTTTTCTAAATTTTAAATAAAGATAGAAAAATTGTGAAGTGTGATACAATGTTATAACGATATACAATAGCACTGGCGGATTTAGAGGGGGCCCAGGGGGCCCGGCCCCCCATTCGTGTCCCCCAAAATACACAATATCTAATAAATCAATGTTTTTGATGTGGCTGTGGGCCCCCTACCCTGACCTCAAACTGGTCGGGCCCCCCCTTTTGAAAATTTCTGGATCCGCCACTGAATATAGACTAGTAAATACAAAGGAAATTCGGTTGATCCACTGCATCTTTAAGGTTGTCTGTCTGCATAGGGTCAAAAATGACACTGCTGTTTGAAAAATATAAAGGATACACGAAATATATTTCAGTCTAGCAGTAAATATTTTAATATTACCAAAAAAAAAAAAAATGGAAATTTTATGAGCAAATGAATGAATTATAATCCGCACAAATTTACACAATAGATAGACCCAGGATTAATATTGGTAGGATTATTTGTGTGTTGGTTGGAGGGGGGTAGGGTAACAATTAATCTAAATGGCAGAAACTTACAATTCTTGTGAACACGAGTTAAAATAAATAAATAAATATTATTTTACGTCCCAAGTTTTAGGTCCACAGGAAGGATATCTCTCCTACAACCAATACACTGAGAGAATTACCTAGATGATTTAACTAGTGTGCCTAGTAAAGCGTTCTGCGTGATTAGTAATCACTCTGTTTACTAGCTAAGATAGTGAAAAGTGGAGTAGTGGTCGTAAAGATACTTAAATACCTAGTGAAAGTTACTTATGAATTCTTAGATTTACTAATGTTATCTAGTAAATCTACCCAATGCCTAGTAAAACTACTTTTGAGGTAGTGATTGTATGGACAGTAAATTTGCTATTCTTCCCAGTGACTTTCACTAGTTATTTTTTTCAGTGTACCATTAACCCTACAACTTGTAAATTTACTTTTTTTATGTAGGTTTGAAATAATACTGCACAATACCGGGTATTCTTCATTTTATATTAGTACCTTTAATTCTGAGCATTACCGTTTTTAAAATCGCCTAAATCGAGACTGGAACTGAATTGCTATGAATTCAGACTTGATTATCATGTACATGTATATATAATGACACCCTAGATTAACAAAATCTGGTTGTTTTTTTTTAATTGGATGGTTTTAGAAGCATACCAATAGAATTAAATTAAAGAAACCATGCAGTTACATAATCTTTTAAAAAAGAATTTCGAACAAAATTGGTTCGTCATTTTTTGTCATTAATTTCAAAAAAAAAAAAAAAAAAAAAAATCCAGTAGACAAATCAATAATAACTATATCCTGTAATTTTTTTGAATCATGCATTTTAATGTATAGATTTTGTTGGGGTAGGGATGGGTTAAAAATTAATATTATTTAATTGTCCATGCCTCAATATACAGTCAGATAAATATGGCTATTTTGTAATATATTTCCTGACAATTGTCTGTGAACTGGCTGAGTTTTAAAATGTCAGATTTTTGTAGTGATGTAAGCATCTTAGAAAATTCATCATATTATTTTATGACTTAATTTAAAAAATTCCCCTTCATTTTAATGATTTTGTTTTCTACTTTTATTTTATGAAGTGAATTTTACAGAGTATGAATTCCATTCTGTTCCCGTGCCAGAAGCTTTGATATGCTAAGCCTTGTAAAGCCTTGCATGTTACGGAAATATAAAAGGACACCCCGATCCCCTGCACTGCGGCCAAAATAAAACAAAATGCAAGCATGTCGTTGCGGTTTTATGTCGTGTTTTTTCAGCATTGAATTTATTTTATGTCAGCATTTACATGAAGAAATAAAACCCGACCCTGGATTTATAAGGATTTTTTTTTTGTTAATCAAAACAAACAAAATCATAATATGTGCTTATACATGTATAATGATATTTATCCATTATTTGTTGGCATGTTAAAAAATATATTACACACAGATAACTGCAATGAGATTATAAGTCCAGTGATGAAATGGGTTTTTTGCATGATAATTGATCTGTTACGAGACATTCAATGCTGATCGAGCTTTTGTGAAAGACAAAGTTCTTCATGGTTTCAGGGATTAATTTGCAGATAATTCTTAAAACATTTGAACTCTGTTAAAAAAAAAAACACCACGTAAGTACCAAAGAGTTACATGTATATTAAATTTGGAGATCTTGAAATAGCCATACATGTAGTTTAAATAACAAAAAAGATTTTTTTTTCTTCATTTTACAGTATTTTATTATTTTGTTTGTTTTAAAAACTTATCTTTTTCAATAGAGTTTCACACTTCTCAATATAGGATAAATAGATTCAATATAAATATCTTTATCTATACCCTCCATCCTCTCTCTCTCTCTCTCTCTCATCAGATTTACTTGAACAGCTCTATTTAATTAAGTTAGAACATTCAGAACACTTTTTTTATTTGAATGTTTTTGCTTGTTTTAATTTCTCTAAATTGAAGTGTCTTATACTGCAACAAGAAAATTATTAAGACAAAACAACATTTTTAAAGTTTAATTTATTTAATCATGATTCATGATACGGTAGATACTTTAAATGTATATTATTTTTGAAAAATGAAATTCATTATTAAATCATTTCATGCAAAAAAAAAAAAGCTTTGGATGAGAGATTTAAAAAAAAAAACATTTTAAAAGTACGTTTGTTTATTTAATTGTTACTGTTTTCCTTTTTTTTTCTTTGTTTTTCCTTTTCTGCATTAATGGGACCTTGTTCCCAAAGTACAACAATAAATGCGGGCGACTGCATGCAGAATAAATTGTTTTTATATTCAACTTACTTCTAATAAAACGACATTTTTATTGACTGTCAACATCATAGCTCATTAAACGCAAAAACCATGTAAAATAAATCTGTATATTTACTTCTCGCTGTACTCTGCAGCCATGACAGTTCTCGCGTGACGTACTGAGACTTGCGCTAATGTCGACGTTTATAAATAATTGTGATGAATACTTTAGTAACACTAAACATCGATAAATAAAATCATTCCATGTGTCATTTTTTCGTGAACAGCCATATTTAGGCTTAAAATAAGGTAATTACCTAGAAAATTGCTCCCTATAGATCATTAATCTCATTGGATGTGACAAAATAGAATTTGTAAAGGTCAGTAAACATGGCGGATAAATTTAAGTTGTGATGTTGACATACACGAAAAATAATGATATATGGATTGTTGTGTAAATTTTTGGATCGATTTGTGTTCTAGGATAACTACATTTTGAAAGTCCAGGTAAGACATATAAATAAAATAGCCGTTTACTGAAATTTGAGCCGAAATCCGTATTCTCTCCCGCTTTGCACCATTACGGAGATCCTAAGGAGTTGTAGCAATCTCCCACACAAAAAAAGGAGAGGGCTACATTATTGCAGCTATGAGGGTCATTGAGCAAAGGGATTTGTCTCGTGACACGGGGCCTAGATTTTTAAGGTCTCATACAAAGGACCGGCAACTTTCACTTCAAAGTGCAAAGCGAATGTCAAATAAAGTTGCTACCTATTTTCATCGGTCAGTCACGGTGGAGATTTGAATTCACGACCTCCTGATCACAGAAGGAGCGCTGTAAGGACTGAGCTACCGTGATGGTTAATCAAATCGAAGTTTTCAAAAAGTTTCAAACAAGTTTCAAAGCATCAATCTCATTTTATCATGCTTTAATTTAATTATCTGTTACTTTGAATACAGATAGGAGTATGAGACAATAGGTAAATTAATTTAACTGCCAATTATATATTTATAAAATCTTTCTAGTATTTCATTTTATTCCTGTTTTATGATAGTTTTAGCAGAGAAGAGATTGAGGGAAAACGGAACCGTCGTATTTTCGGAAGCAATGCAACCAAAACAGGGAAAATTGATTATTGGATGGAGAAGTTTTGCTCCAGTAATGGAATACCATGAATTCTTACGATTGCGACGTAAACATCATCTAGGGTTAGAGGTTTGTCTGTTTACAGTTTTAGCCATGAACTAGGGCTATAGGTATGTATCTGTACAGTTATGGCCTCATCCTAGGATTAGAGGCAGTATGAAATTGAATATGGCGGCGGCGAAGTGTCCTAGGGCCTATACACGTTTTCGTGTTTCCAATAACCTAAATCTAGGTCACATATATAATTAAAGTTAAAAAGATTGCTTCGGTCATAATTTAAAATTCTTTTGTTGTTTATTCTATAAATGTTGATATTAAGCTACAGTAACTGAATAATCGTTAGATTTGGTTGGTGTTTTATGGGACTATTTTTTTTTTAGTAAGATGTCTTGAAAAAAAGGGCAAAAGTAATAAAGTATGTGTAAATGCCCCGAACATTTCGTAAATCGTTGTTTTTTTCGATGGTATTCCGATTTATTTTAAGATATTTGTTATTTCAAGTAAAAATAGAAATATAATGGAATCACTTTTAAATTTAAAAAAATATTCAAGGTAAAAAATCAACAAAAGTGGGAAACATGGGATAATTTAAGCATAACGAGCTTCGCCTTAAATATGTACAGTTATGATCTTGACATATGACTAGAGGTATGTATGTGTACAGTTATTGCCTCATCCTCGGGTTAGAGGCATGTATTTGTACCCCTATGATCTATCCTTTGGTTAGAGGCATGTGTATATCCAGTCATTGCATTGTTCTAGGCCTCGAAGTATGTATTTCTACTGTTATTGCCTTGTTCTAGAATTCCATTTTTGTGCAACTTTGAATAAAAAATTGAAAACTACGCGATGAAATGTATTTTATTCATTAAAACATGACCAAAGTTGTTATTTTCAAAATTTTTGACAGAAGTTTGTTTGCATCCTCTGTCCTTAAGTTATGTATGAATGAACTAAATGAAATATAACTTCAAAAGATTTAGAATTATAATGAAATTATTTTTAATTAGATTTAATCCATCGAACAGTGAAAAAATAACGCCTCATTTCCTCATGAACACATTCCAGCAGGATAAAAAGGGTATATATCATTTAAACATCTAAAAGTACCTTTTAGACATGTGATACTCGTATGTTTTTCCTAGTTTTTTCTTATCTATACAAAACCTGTTATTTTTAATTTTTGCCTTAAATGAATTGACTGATATCTTTGAACAAAATAGGTAAATCAGAATGGGTAAATTATTCCAATTCTAATACCGACTACTATTAATTCTTTTAAATACCATTTCAGTTGATGAATCAGTACAATGCAGTGTGTGAAGTGTTGAATTCACACCTGCTTTTACGATTTTATCCGGTTCTGCAGGGAACATGGTACCCATGGTTTGCCTCCTTAAACGTTAGCCTCCTTGTGCTCTTTCTCTTTCTTGGGAGTGTCTTTCTATCGGTGGCTATTCATAAAAAGAATAACGTCATTGGCTCAACTTATGCTTGCGGTGTGATAGTTTCACTTTCACTTTTCCCTATCACCAGAATCATTCTGTGGATATCCAAAATAAAGGTATGTTTTTTTTCTGTCTTTTCTGTTAATTGCTGTTTCAGAATTAAATTTTAGGTTTAAAAATGCTTTTTATTCGTTGATTTCTTCCTCTCAATACGATTTAGGTCGTGCGGTCAATAAAGAGTACCATATGGAATAAAAACTTATTATTTTACAAAAAATCCTTATGCTTCATAGTCTTGGACGATGATGAAGAATTCGTATCTTTTACAGTTAACTTAACTTTCGTGTGCTAACGCCTTTAATGCATGTTCTCGAGGGAAATAAGATACATGAATATACATGTATTATATACCTCGTTCAATGAAAAATTTTAATCCATACAGGGATGAAAAGTTCCACTGTTAAATTCAGCAACTCAGCAATTACATTTCGAAAATTAAATGATTTAGGATTAAATATATTCAGTTGGATGGGTGGGTGAGGGGTTGGGAAGCAAACATTTCTTAACAAAACAAAAATATTTTATGAGGCCTGATTTATGAAACATAAGCATTAAGAAGTTGTGTTTACATAGTATACTCTAAATACACAGGAGCTAATTAAAATCAAGAAAATCTTTAATTAGTGTCCTACAAAAAGAATTGAAGTAATGCACTGGATATTTCAGATTTCCTATTCTTGTTCGTTATGTAATTTAATATTATCTACCTTAACAAGAATTACAGGTTCATGTTGTTCGTTATAAAACAGAGAGTTGTCAGGTAAGATCAACGCGAATATCACAACTGTCAGGTAAGAACAATAAGACTGAGATTTTATTTATTTTTTTTATGTTTGTTTAACGTCCCTTTGAATATCGTTCGCATATATTGAAACGTTTTTTCTTACCGGCGAAGGGCTATTTTGTACGTGGTACATGTACTCTTCGGCCTTAAATGAATTAAGCAGCGAGAGATTTTTTCGTACGAGTTCCTACGGCGACAAGAGACCTCTCTTATACGGTCTCGTCCGAAGGATTGTTTTACCCAACACACTGCTGGTTCAAACCCGCAAAACTACTAATTCTTGTTTATCCTAGAAACTGTTATATTGTGAGCAATCGATAATAATTTAAAACGCAAAAGCACCAATTTTCTTTATCGACAACAAGATTCCGATAAATTCTGTCTATTTTAAAATAATTTTGTTTTATCCTAGAAACCGTTACATTGTGAGTAATGAATGATAATTCAAAAAATGCAAAACGAGCAAAACCTAAAGTCAAAAGCCTAGAATTTTCATAACGAACAAAGCCTTTTTAATTTCTTAAAAAGTTTTACATCCTAATTTTTATAACATGCTCTATGCTGTTATCCTATTATATTTTCGAATTATAAAAGAACTATCTTGAGCTCTTAAGTCAGATTGCATAGGCTTTGATTTTATGGTAACAAAATACTATAAAAAGTATATGCCAATGATAAATCCAGTGATAAATCACATTGAAAACCATATGCATAGATTTTGATTTTTTTACAAAATATGCAAATGATAATAACTGGATAAACTTTATGCTTTAACTATAAAGGAATCATTTTGACAAATTTTTAATTAATAAAACTTTATTAAAAACTTTACAAACTACTTTACATTTCATTTTCTGTATATCAGTGTTGCCGCGGCAACATAATAACAGGTCAAAGTTTTAATTTTCTATTTCTTTATTGAATACAAACAATTAGAGCTACAGTCTTCATAGAGATTCCAGGTTTTGAAAAACTCTGCAGCTTATAAGTTAAATTCATTGTAGAAATATCTATGCGAGCTTTTGAAAATGAGAAATCCGGACATAACTGATGAGGAAAACCAAGTATGTTTGTATTTAATTTAACTGAAAAGTTGTTGGGGAAAAAATATACATTTTTGAGGAACTTTTCCTCTAACTTTACAAGTAGAAATATGTTTTAACATAGATTTTGTATTCTCCATTATGTTTCAGACAGAGGCTGGGAGTAAAATAGAAAATCTTTTACACAAGGTGTTCTTTCAAGGAGAAATTCATAAACTTGAAACGTGTTTAGAACTCCGCAATACTAACCGTCACAATACTGTTGGATTTTCAAGGTGCCTTTGTCAGCGTTTGGAAAGAGACATCATACCGCCTTTGATTAGAATTAAAGCGTGAGGAAAAATAATAAGTTAGTTTACGAAATAATGATTTGATATTGAAACCATTTTTTTCACAAATTGAAGTTGACAGAATTTTTTTTCAGATTGTTGTTCATTAAATTTTTTTTCTTATTTCGATTATTTTGATTTAATTAAACAATAAAATGCTTTCTTTGTTTTTTGTTATTGAAATCAATATGCGGAAAATTTTGCTGTTGCAGAGAAATAAAATCCAAACATCAAAACCCGCGTAAGCGGATGTTATTTATTTATTCGTGTAATTTATCAACTGTAATATTCCTTCATAACAGCCAACATTTTGGAGGGAAGAATAATTGTTTATATTTATTTATCTTTTAAATTATCATTTTATGTAGGATTAAAAATATTAATTATTGTGTTAATGATGCACGTCTTTGTACGTTTCATTGATTACATTGATAAAAATTTGATTACAGGTATATATATTTTCATTATTTGAAATACTAATTATCATTTAGAAAAAAAAAAAGAGGTAAGATAATCTTGTTGATGAACTTTTTAAATATACAAGCAAATAAACAACCTGATATTCACGTTAAAAACTTGTCATTACATTTTTTTGATTTTAATATCAATATGCTTTTGATGATACGGAATACATTATTAAAAGTCTAATGTCCCAAATAACTTTTGGTCCCGAAGAAATTTCAAATCTAAACATATTCGAAAATTCGAATTTTTTTGGCTGTGCTGTTATTAGAATTATTTTATTTACGACCTATTTATTTTTGTGGAACCCTTTTGTGTTATTTTGTTTTCATGAAACGCGGGTTTTCAACCAAAAAATATTTGCCAGTTTTTGCCATATACTTTTTTCCTTTTAATTTATAAACACTTGCATCCAGGTATTTTTCGTTTTACAAATAAGAATTTGGAGATTACATGTATATATATTTTCATTATTAGAAATACTAAATAATCGTGTAGAAAAAAGAGATAAGTTAATCTTGTTGATGGACTTTTTTTTACTTTAACAAGCTTTTTATAAAACAACCTGATATTCTGACTTAAAAAGCATCGCTTTTAAAAATTTTGATATGTGAATTTAATATATATACAAAACTAAATTTTACTGTAAATTTTATATATAGTGTTCTTTACTTTGTAGCTTCTTACCAAATCAGAGCACATATCCATATCATTACTAACTTGCATCAATAAATGATTAGAAATTTATATGTGGTGTACCATATGATCCCTTTTCTAATTTTTTATGAGGCCCGTTTTTCTTTTCTTTCAATTTAAATTGTACCAATGGACTTTTAAGCCTGAAAATACTTTGTTATCTTTATATTTCCCATACCTACATGTAGTATTTGGCGAGAAGGTTTATGTTGACGATCAAATATTTACTGTCTGATCATTATAATTAACATATGTAGAGAATACAAAAAAATCGAGTATCAATATTGTTTTCTTTATTTAGTATTTAGTTTTATAGAAAGACATACAGAATACATTGGTGCTATCCTTAAATATATATACTATGAATAGCAAGTAATATATATTTATCAGTTCACTGTTAGGTTTGAATCATTATTTATCAGATAGAAAACAATAGAAAGAGTTCATATCAAAATCACAATTTAAGTGACAACAGTAACAAAGTATTTTTTTATGTACAATAACATTTTAAAATCGTATACTTGTAAATAAAAATTTTGTCTCTGTTGAAAATTATTAAAGTGACAGTTCGATGGTGATCAAGGTTTGTAAAATGCCTACGACTTGTAGATCGGAGATTATTTTAAATTAGGCTAACATTTCACTAATAGTTTTAACCCGCTTACCGATCCTGACACGGACATTAGTTCTTTCACCTATAAAATACCTCAGCACTCCATTTAAGAGCAGAGATAAGGATTCCGGTTCACGTTCATACGCGTGCATCACAGAAACCATAGACACCGCGAATAACACAGTGGAACCAAAAGGAATGTCTCTCAGAATGTTCTTCTGTTTTGCCCAAAGATACAAGGCATAAAGGGTATGTGGGACTAAAAATAGAGATAATTCTTTTCTTCTTGATGCTCTTTCAAATAGAACTCCAAAACCACAAACGAAACCAGCAACAGCGGGTACATATGTAGACAGCGGAGGTGGTTTATGTGACAAGTTTCTCAGTAAACATATGACGTATTTGGCCAACATAACCATAGTCGCCAGGAAAGCAGTAGAAAACAGGGTATTTTTTAAGATGGACTTTATAACTCTGTATGGTCTGAAAAATAACAAAAAGGAGAAAAATAATTCAGTCGCTTTGCGTTTTTTAAAAATGTATTAAAATAGATTTTTATGAAAATTGGAAAAAAGGTACAAATCTTGCCTTTCAAGAAGAAGTTTGCGTCTAAATACTACAACTGGTGCCACGTGTATAGGGAAGTATAATTTGGCAAAGGCGGGAAAACTCTTCACCCAATCCACGATCGCGTGACGTAAACATTGGTCTTTGTGTAACCCAGCTTCCTGGCAAGTCAAGAATCTGTCACCAGGTTCTCTGAACAAAACCCGGAGTTTTTTGTCTGTATAGTCTCGGGACCATTTCAACACAGAAAAATAATAACCAGTATTCAGAAGCTGTGGATTTAGTGCAGTGCAGTAAACCAAGAATGCACAGCAACAACAGAAAGACATGGTCTCCGAGTAAGGTATTTCTGGTATCTTCTCCCTGGCTACAAGCGTGGAAATTAAGGCGCCTATCGCTCTGGAGATAGCAAACAGACAGAAGATTAGGCGGCGAGTTGGGTCCTCTATACATAAAGTAAGACCAGCTAATCCACCAGCAGCCATATTGTTCCAACCATCCTTAATATATTATTGTAAACCTCTTACTAACAAATAAAATACCATTACTTTTTAATCATTTCAAGGGATTTTAACAATTTTTTTAATTTGCATTTTTTTAACTGCTACATCTATGCTGTTTTGTGGGTGTTAATTATTAAATGAAAAACTGTTTTTTTACTGAGCTGTTGTAAGTGTAAATCGTACCTTCTTTTTCCTATAATGCTGCAAAATTTCTCTTAGTAGTTCATATATACTAGGATATAGTCCAAGAAAAGAAGCAAAACGAAGGCAGTCAATGGAGAAGATTTCCCTAATGGCGCTCGGTAATCTGAAAAGAAAAAAATGTGTTATCTTCTTCTATGTATACTCAATGCACCTTCATAATCAACTTTGATATAGTTGCTAAACTTGCAATAGAATTAATGTTGAAAAGCTTTCTAATTGATTTTAAAAGAGATTATTTAAAGTGAACTTAAAATAAACATACATTTGCATTTTCTTTTTGTGTGTTTTTTTTAAATTTTTTTTTCTTCTCAAAATCATTACGTAACCGAATCTGTAGAGACAAAAAAAAAACTCAGGGTACAGAAATTGCCTCTAAAATGCTTTAAAAAGGATATCTTACTTCTCCCGGAAGGGGTTTCTCATCAGGGCCGATATGACCTTCACCCCGCTGTACAATCCCACCCCACTGAGGAATCCCTTAGATAATCTTTTAACAAACAACACCAACAATGCCTCGATCCGCCTCTGATCCTCTTCGCCTTGATTTGTTTCCTCTGTGTCCTGTGTCGACATTTCGTTTCTCTTGTGTCCACTGTGTTTTTAATTTTTCAAGATCCATCCACCAAATGATAATAGAGTGTGGGTAGACATGAAGGTTATGCACGATATTAGATAACACATATCAATTGATAGTGACCTCCCGATTGCTCCCCATTGATAATAAGCTGGATACAGATTAGGGTTTTCAAATAATTTTTTTATCTTAATCTGGAAATCATGATAACAGACAAATTTTATACATACATGCATTATGAGAATGATAATTGTTTAATTTTCAAAGGGATCCAACAAAGTTTTGTGAAAAACTAAAACACAAAATGATTTATATATTTTTAAAAAAATGTTGAAGGCATCATTGAGACTTTATAAAAACATAAACAAGATTAAAATTATTTAATGGATCAATTCAGTGTCATAAATACTGGTGTAGACAGAACATTGCTGTATAAATAACTGATATTAAGGATGCTACCGGTAATTTCAAAATCAAAAATATATTAAATAGGTAGAATTGAATTGCAATAATTTCTGAGCGAGAAAAGGATTCTTTAAGTTCAGAAATCCCGGAGTTGCGGAATAACTGAATAATTCAGAGACATTTCTTTGCATATTATATCTAATCAGTAAATATTTAAATACGAAAATTATTTTGACCTTTCTCCTTTGAAAAATAATATGACACGAACAGATGAAAATATTATGATTTTGTATCAACATAAAAATAAAAATTCAATACAATATGTAAAATTTGCAGTCATGATAAGATGAATTTTATCCTATATATGCTTGCAAATAAAAGCAACAATGCATAGAATATTTATTTCAATATACATGTATGTACCTTTTTGTCGTGAAATTCTCTGAATATTTCTAATTTCCATTTTTCTTTAACTTTATTTACATTTGAGTTTAGTGTGCTACATGAAGGAATATACTGTCTTGATTTTATATGTAGCTAGACCACAATAACTTCTGCTTCGTTCCCTTCGTCGTCATTGATGGTTGTTTTGGTGTCTGTGTCCTCTATAAGTTTGTATGTGTCTTCAGCTGAATGCTGAAATATATATATTATACTTTATATCATCAAATATACTACATTTAAATTTTTTTTTCAAAAAATATGTTTTTCACTAAAATTTCATCAGTTGATTAATGCAATATACCTAATAATATATCTCTGACTAAAACGAACAAACTATTCAAAATAGTTTCTATTTCTAATTTTATAAGCGTTCTTTACCTCACAACATGCCTTTACTTTGACATGATACAGGCCGCCTTTGTAACAGCATATTATATAGAAAAGGATTGAAAACAACCCAGCGTAAACAAAAAAGGTGACAACGTTCTGATAGGCCTGGGCAATATCCACTGCCTGGCACGTGTGGTAGTCGTCTTTAATTTGAATTGTTCTTTTTGGACATTCATTAAAGCACGTTTTGTTGAAAATGTAGAAGTTTTTAATGATAATACATTCATCTTTATCGATGCATTCGTTCTTGTAATTTACAAACCCATCTGGACACACTGATAGACACATGGTACCGATACTTTCGTTTTTGAATTTGTTAGGGTTTGTATCAGTACATTCATCTGTACAGTTCCTTTCATTTATGACTTTGTTTCCAGGACACCGAGACACACAATGTCTTCCGTTGCTTAGTAAGTTTTGGGGACACTTTTCAGTGCATAAATTTCCACTCTTTGAAGCTTGAAAGAAAAACGATTTCAAACATTCACTCATATTCGTGCAAATGTTGTCTATCACCACATGAGTTTCTTTTGGACAATAAATTTTGCATTCCTTTGTTCCCTTTAGTAGCATAGTGTTATTTGGACAGATGTCTGAACTAATGCACTCCTTGCCAATGGTTGACTCCTTGTATAGGTTACTTCTTTTCGTGCATTGCACAACACAAGTCCTATTTTCTATATAAGAAATATACCCCGGACATTTATCGTCACATATTCTTCCATTATATAGGTATTTTAAGGGACATTCAGAAACGCAAGTTCTGTTCTGCCGTAGTAAAAAAGGCTTAGAACCAAGACATTTGGAGGAGCAGTTCGATAAATAGTGCACTAAATTACTTGGGCAAAGGTGAAAACACATATTGTCGTATTTAAATGTATTTCTTGGACAATGTTTTACACATACATATCTATTCCTGCCGTCTGTGTTTAAAGAATTCCTCAAAGGGGAAGAATAGGGACACCTCGATAAACAAGTGCTATTAAATATGGAGTATTCTTTCGGGCATTCACTGACACACATTTTTTTCTCAGGTAAAGCATACCCATATTTTCCTGATGGACATTTTGAAAGACATTGCTGATAGTAAATAGTATTTTGCTGTGCTGCTGTTGTGTATATAAACGGCCGCGCATCTTCACACTTCTCAATGCATGTTTTGTCCCCTCCATTATCAAGATAGGTACCGTTGGGGCACACAGAAACACAAACATTTCTGTATGATGCCATCTCCTCTGGACATATATCCGTACAAATGAAAATTTTATTAAATGTAGAAATTTTTATATCTATAAATGGGTGCGTAGCTGGGCATGATTGTAAACAGCTTCTGTTGAAAAGAACAGGTAAATAAACTGGACACGATAAATTGCAGGAATTTTGATTTATTGCTGTGAAGTCGGGACACTCGTTTAAACAGTGTGTAATTTTTGGGGAATGAAAAACAAACGGATGAGATTTCGGACAACTCCTGAAACAAGATTTCACACCGCTATAGCAGACACCACGGCAAGAAAACGACGTCAAAAATGGTGCTTCCTTTGGACATTCCATTAAACACGAATGATTGAAACCGACTGTGTATTCCGGACAAGAAGAAAGACAATTTCCATCAAAGCAGTATTGGTAATTTTTATTACACATGAATGCGGGGCATTCAAGGTCATTAATAGCACTATTATTGCAGTACTTTATAAATCCATTGTCTGTTTTAGGTGAAAATGATGGACAGTCTTCGATACACCTTCCTTTGAATACATACTGGCTAGATGGACAGCTCCGTTTACAAATGGTTTTTGTCCTCTGATACCATGTTTTAAAAGTAATTGAAACTTCTGTTGGTAAGCATTTTGGTTGAGTTTCCTAGATAATGAAATAGATATTTTAACAGTGGTCTTTCAGATAACTCTTGATTCTTGAATCTAACATCGCAACAAATAATCGTAAATTCTGCATCTGAACTCAAAAGCATAGTAAAGATAACGAAGCTAACCTCGACAAATGTTTTCAGTATAAGTAATGCATATCTCGCAGCAAAATTTTTGTGGTAAGTAAGCATCCTGACAACAATATTCATGCAAGTTTTATTTAAGTTAAGGTCTTATAGTTCATTGGAAATTGACCTGTTCCAAAAACTTTAACCTGTTCACTGATCAAGGTAATGGCTTTCATTTCTTACTTTTGAGGTGAGTCTGGAATATTTCATCCTTAGATGCATCATTCATATAGTTTAAATCATAACAAGCCATGTAATCATAGATACTCCAAAAGCATTGCCAACGTCACCCATTTCGAAAATGAAGGTCAGATCAATCATTCGAAGTAAGTCTGGTAATATCCATCTCTAGATGCATCATTCATGCAAGTTTGGTCCAGGTTGGGCTTATTGTTACTTTGGAATGGAGCTGCTATAAAAACTTAAACGTAGTCTCTCATATAGGAAATGTAGGTCAGATCCAGCATCCAAAGCAAGACTGGTAGTGTCTATCCCTAGATGCATCACCAATGCAAGTTTGGTCCAGTTAGGACTTATAGTGACTTGGGAATTGACTTGCTCCTGTAACTTTAATTGGGGCGCCGACGCCGGGGGTTTATCCTAAGCTATAAGACAGGGTACAGTGTAACATAGACCCTAACAAAAAAATACTATAGTAAACTATAGTTAACTATAGTAAACTATAGTTAACTATAGTTTACTATAGTTAACTATAGTAAATCAAAGTTCCAAAGTTTTCACCATAGTAAATCAAAGTTCCAAAGTTTTTACTATAGTTAATCAAAGTTCCAAAGTTTTCACTATAGTAAATCAAAGTTCCAAAGTTTTCACCATAGTAAATCAAAGTTCCAAAGTTTTTACTATAGTAAATCAAAGTTCCAAAGTTTATGTCATAGTTATTCAAATTTGCAAAGTTTTTACTAAAGTTATTCAAAGTTTTAAAGTTTTTGTAATTACTTTAACAACTTTTATAATTTAAATAAGTTATTTTTATTATCATTCAACTGTTTTAAGGGGAAAGATATTAGGCTTGTTGGGGTTGATTTTGTTGTTCATCTTCATTTTAATAGTCAAAATAATTTATGTAAATGCAATATTTACATTTAACAGTAAAAACATGTTGAGTGAAGCTAATGAAGGAAATATTTTTATTCTAAATGACACAAATCTTATCTTAAAGTAAGTTTTTTCTGAACAAATAAGATTTACGTTTTATCCGTACAACATTACAATTAAATAAATTTGAATAAATATTGCTTTTTTATCGGTGCAAGAGACAATTTGTGCATAACAATTCATTTCTTGTACATCATTCTGTTAGGGGACGGATTGGGTTTTTTAAAAGTTCTCTAAAGCTTTTATGAATTTTACCCTTGAAATTTCATTAAATGTACAAAATGGGAAGCAAAAACATTATTCCAGGGGTTTTATAGTACCTGATCAAAGTTGCAAAGCTTTCACCAAAATAAATCAATGTTCCAAAGTTTTTACCTAAGTAAATCAAAGTTCCAAAGTTTTTACCATAGTAAATCAAAGTTCCAAAGTTTTTACCAAAGTAAATCAAAGTTCCAAACTTTTCACCAAAGTAAATCAAAGTTCCAGAGTTTTTACCAAAGTAAATCAAAGTTCCAAAGTTTTTACCAAAGTAAATCAAAGTTCCAAAGTTTTCACCAAAGTAAATCAAAGTTCCAGAGTTTTTACCAAAGTAAATCAAAGTTCCAAAGTTTTTACCATAGTAAATCAAAGTTCCAAAGTTTTTACCATAGTAAATCAAAGTTCCAAAGTTTTCACCATAGTTAATCAAAGCTCCAAAGTTTTTACCAAAGTAAATCAAAGTTCCAAAGTTTTTACCATAGTAAATCAAAGTTCCAAAGTTTTTACCATAGTAAATCAAAGTTCCAAAGTTTTTACTATAGTAAATCAAAGTTCCAAAGTTTTCACCATAGTAAATCAAAGTTCCAAAGTTTTAACTTTGGTACTATAGTTAACTATAGTAAACTATAGTTAACTATAGTTTACTATAGTTTACTATAGTATTTTTTTGTTAGGGAGAGATCAATCAAAAAAATCTAAAAACAATATAAATATTACGTGCGTTGTGTACTGCATTGCAGTGAATTCTTTACTGAAATGGTAAAAAATTACATTTAATTATAGAAGTTGGAATGAAATCTATTATCCTATAATGTCTACATTAACTGGACTAAGAAATATTTTTAATAGGACCCTTTTGATCCTCAAGAAGCATATATCACTACGTTCAAGGTGTAAAATTATGGAGATTACGAGCAATATTTAAGCTTTTAAATCGGTTTCACCGGTAGGGGACTAATAATATCTATACAAGTATAGCATACGTAAAACTACAAAATTTGCTTCGGGGTATTCTTTTATTATTTCAACTATATATATTTCTAATTTATTCCTCGTAATCAATAATAAATACTTATAGGGTAAGTAAAACGTGTTCCATTTGTTATTGAAAAGCAGTTATCAATGGTATAAAAAAAAACCGGACCGTACTTCATTAGCTTATGGGGAATATTTGTTTGAAGAATTAAAGAATTAAATTTTTGTTGTATTTTTTGATAAAATTTGGGGATTACAAAATTTCCAAAATGCTTGGGACTTTGAAGTATCAACATCTGAAATACACCATTCTGGGATATACTGTTGAACAGTACACCTGAAGTGTTTCTGCTTCATTGTTGTTAATATTTTAAATGAGCAGTAAAGTGGGTTGTTGGAATATTTACTGGAACCTGCAATCATGTATCTTTTTGGTTGTTTGGATTATAAACAAAATTACAAGATTTTGAAGAAAAAAATTCCCTCTTAGAAAGCAGTTATGCAAAGGTATAAGTTGGATAACCACTTGCAATATCAAATCCCAGTTTCTCTAAAACACAGTTCTGAATCATGGAACACAGAAGGATAGATGGTTTTCATATTGCACATCAATCGCTAAATGCAAGATTTTAACATACATCTGATACATTTAATCAATTCTGACAAAGTAACAAGGTCAATGTTTTCATGTCTAGCCGATCGCCTGACGTAATCTTTAACAATTAAAATGAAATTTAAAAGGCCAAAAGATTTTTCAAATTATTATATTTTTCATTTGGAAAGGGGGGATGCTTTTTTAAACATTTTTAACATGTCATCTAATTTATCATATATGTGTAATTTGTGTATTCATATTTTTTGTTTATTCATCGTGTTCATGATATTTCAAATTGTACATTTTTAACTCTCCCAGCCTTGGTGTGTCTGTGGAAGTGTATGTATGTTTGTGTTTAAAGTTAATAAAAACATTTGGCGGAGAATAAACGGTCAAAACCGAAATAATCGATGTGCAAATTTATATTTTTGTTTGATAATTATTTTATGCAGCAAGAAATGTAAAAGAAAATGGCTGAAGGGTTTCTGTGCTTTTTTGAGACTACTGAATAAAAAATGAATAAGGCTTTCAATCTTGATGAAAATAAATTATAAAGACTTATTGATTTACATTGACTATATTATTTCTTAGGTAGATTTAAACATCGCCTTATGCATGGAGGCCTACTACATTAAAGTCCTTATATTTATGCCTAATGTTTAATGAAGGATAAGCCTTTATTATGACTTAAGCAAGTACAGTCAAAAGGGATGTATGTTAATTCCTCTCATCTTCGTGGTCACTGTATATAGCTATCCACGATATGTTAATTAAATTTCATAATACAATTCATATTCATCTATGACGATCTCAATGTCTTATAGTTGCTTTCATATATAGAAAATTGCGCAAATAAAGATAATTTCAAATGTTACCTGATATAAGTAATACTGAAGGCAAAACTTACCTTTGGTATCAAAATACAGCAGAAGAAAAATGACAGAGAGAGTGAACAATACTTTATCATTGTATCCTACCTTATTGAAAAGATATTTAAAACAGAATTATTGATTGTGACTTTCAAGGTATGGTGCCAAGTTTTGGCAAAGGTAGCATGAAAAGAAGATGTGTAGTTATATTTGATTTGAAGAACAATATTCTAAGAATGATAAAAACGCCTTGAAAACCCCACATCAACAGCATGGTAGTGAATTTTACAATTGTGTAGATTACAATTTAAAAGAAATTCCCTTCACACTGCTTTGTATTGGGTTTTACTCATTGAGATGAATGCACTTCCGTAATTCGCAGGAAATGATATCGAAAGTGAGACTTCATAGAAACGCATATGACCATAGCGACTGGGTGTTTTTTTTTTATTAATGTGAAATATTCGAACATGTCGTAGTCTTTGTAATAACTCCGGTGATATAATTAAGCCAATTAAAGACCATGTCAGAAGAAACAATTCCTCTATTTTCCATCGATGAAGAAAGCATATTTAGTGAGGAAAATCCTTCACAGTCAACAAATATATGTTTGCAACTAAATGAAAGGTACAATGAAAAGGAGCAGAGGAGCGATGAAACATTTACAAAATATACAGATGATTGTGAGGAAACGAAGGTACGAGAACTTTACCAAATACAAGAGAAAAAACCTTTGCCTTCAACAAATACAAAAATGCAATTACATGAACGCAACAATGAAGAATATGTGCAGGAAAACGACAAAACTTCAGAGGAAATCGAAGAAATTACTGTTTTAAAACATTGTGAAATACTACATCCAGTTTCAGAATGTCTAATACCCCTCCCACCTGGGAAAAAGTACCATTTATTTGTATCTTATAGTTCAGAAGATAGAGAACAAGCCTATATAATACGCGAACAGATGGAAAGCAGATTTCATCTTAAATGTATGGATTACGAAAGAGATTTCATTCCAGGGAAAAATATAGATGAAAATATTACCGATGAAATGGCTCATAGCGTTAAAGTTCTATTGATTTTGAGCCCATACTATATTCAGAGTCATTGGTGTGTGACGGAGGCACGCGAAGCATGCAAGCTTTCATTCACGGATATCGATAATTTGAATGTGATTCCACTCGTTTTAAAACCCTTGCATAAAGAATTGCCATCTTTCTTAAAGTCATTTGTATATATCGATGCCCAAAAGGAATTAGATGTTCCGGCAAAGATTTTTGAAGCATTTAATCATCCTGGTAAGATTTTACCAAAAAAAATCATCATTTTATTGCCTCTGTTTTTCGAGGATATATAAATGTTATCAATTGAGACTGACTTTAATTCAAATACGTCTACCCCGTTGTCAAAACTTATCTGTCTGAAACATACGTTGTCCGTGGAAATACAATACTACGGATGCATACTCCCCGTCGAGGACTCATCTAGGAACTAGTGGATGTTTGGATGCTGCACAGCTATTACATCTAAATTTTGCAAGAGTTACCATACTGGAGGTCCAAATGCTCATATTCTTTCACTGTTCAACCAATTTTAAATTTTTTTATTTGCAATTTTGAGTTAGGAATCATTATTTTTCTGAAGTATATAAATTTTTGGAAGTTTCCTTTATTTAAAAAAATTATTTAAAGATAAAGATTTTCCACTAAATATTTCTGCTATATTTTCTTAAACTTGGTACTATATATATGGCGGTGTAACTTTTTAAAATCGAAAATAAATATCTTTTTTATATATATCTCTTGATAATTTAGTTATTTAAATATAACAAAAGAAAATACAGTTTAAGAACAATTAATCAATAAACATTTAATATTATTTATTTAATCAAAATTTTAATTATTTATTTTATCTTTAAATTGTTTTAAAGTACGTTTTCTTTTGTGTTTCATTTTTCTCTAATTTTAAATAAAAAGAAAATATGAAAGTGTCAGGTGATAGTATTTATGTATTTTTTGAGCATTTAGGTGCCTTTTTAATTGTCCTGATAGGGAAAAAACCATAAAAATTAAACAAAATAACAAGAAATATTAAGTAGAAATGGAACGCAAGAATTGCCAACTTTGAAAGCGTATTGTAAACATTCTAGACATAGAATCTCAAATCGCCACATACAATCGATAGTTTAATGTATGAACTTTTAGTTAATTGTACTCTGGTGATTGCACTTTTTGATTAAAGGTAGGCACAGGCGTTTGAAAATTACCATCCTCTGAAATCAGAAGATAAAATCCAAATTGCTATGCGGTTTCCATATACGGTAAAAAATTTGGCTGGCATATTGAATCTAGCTTTTTTTTTCCAAAAACGGAGGCCGCCCAGACCTGATTATTGCCCATATAAATGTTACCTCTGAATTCATCGTTCAGTGAGATATTTCATATAACTTTTACAGGGTCTCTGGATCCATTACATCAAGATAAACCAGGTGAGACCGTGGTGTTTATTGAATGAAACATTCAAATTAACAATACAGGTGTTTTAAAATTATAATTTTTGGCAAATTACTTAGTATGCAAGAGTAAAATACAATGTACAGTCTTGTTTCTCATTTTGTATATCTTTCTTCTAGCCATAACAAACAACGGTGTTATTTTATGCCGAAAGATTGCCAGTAGAGCAAAATATGTCCAATACGGTCTATCATTTAGATTCCCACCTATCGAAAAATTTGAAGAAGAAAAGATCCGTTCTTTTGGTGTGGATCCAATAGAGGTTAGTGGTTTAATTGATATATGGTACATATAATTCAACATTAAATTGCAACCTTAAATCAGATACTTAGAATTTTCAAGGCAATTAGAAGTATTCTTAAAGATATTCTTTTTTTAAAGCTTGACAACCACTACAGTGCTCTTATAAAGGACCTTAACTACCGATATCTTTTTCGGAATTATCCAGCCCTGTCATCTCTTAAATGGCGGTGTTGTATACTATCTATCCTATTTTTCGTTGTCCTCTTCATCTTTTTTGCTTTTTTCTGCTTGAGCAGGATTCCTGGAAGCATATACTATAATGAGCCTTTTCAAATGAGTGTTTTAACCGTTGGTCTGCCTTTATTAGGCTTTATTTTTCCTTGTGGATTATCCATTATATATGCATGCCGGAGAACAGTAAGTTCTTTCCTCTCTCTCTCTCTCTCTCTCTCTCTCTCTCACTCTCTCTCTCTCACACAAATTAAATTCATAGTTGTAGATATAAGGCAATGAATTGACTGTTTTAAAATTAAAACATTATTATACGAAAACAAACCTGATATTCTTTGATATTTGATTTTATTTGATTTCTTTTTATTTTTATTAGCTGTCTTCAAATATCCACTTAACGGTATGCCAGTACAACCTCCAGTTCCACAGAATCAGTAAATGCCTTGTTTATTTTGACAACAGTAAAACTCTTCTTACCAAACCTACAGTATCCTTTAATAGGATGTGTACAGTGAATGAAAATGAGACAGGTTACTTGCAAAATAAATACCCCTGGATACAAGAATTAAAATTCTAATAGCCTTTATGTATAAAGAATTTCCGCTTGCTTGCGTATTTTATATCTATGTGTGGATCTATAGACTTTCTGATCTTTATTTGGGCTCTAGACTTTTTGTCTTTGTGAAAGGCTTGTCCATTTTTAATCTTGTAGGCAATTTCACTTTTTTAATCCCGAATTTTCAATTTCTCTAAAGATTAATTTCTCTCTTTTTAACCCTTTTAACTGGCAAGTCATAGTTTACGATGCAACGATTAACATTTAAAGACACATGTATGAATATCGTTCACCGGTACGTACTCACAAGAAAACCTGTTTCATGCCTAATTCGATAATGTTTGCTTGAATACACCCCAACACACTTTTTAACATATTGTATATCAGTAATACATCTCTCAACACACAAACTAATCAATATCCAGGTTTGTGGCTCAATTTTTGATGTCGATAAAAATTAGAGTCAAACACATGCACAGATCTTATGTATTTAGCCATTTCTTACATCCATAAAAGACTTTGTACATTTCGACCTCTTTCTAGTTTAAACAATTTTAACCTTATAGTAAGTCTTTTACAATTTTAGACTTCTGTAATGACCGTTGTGTGCTTTTTAACCACACCTTTACAATTTTTGACCTTTGTGTATACTTCTGCACATTTTTTTACCCCGGTATTTTGAGCTTTTTGCCTGTTTCATATTTCAGATTATATCAATGTTGCTTTTGAAGATAGAAGGAAATACGAGGACAATTCAATAAATATTGTCCTCGGTGCTCGGAAAGAAATATAAAACGCTTTTCAATGATTTAGTCTTAATGATTTCAGTTAAATATTCTCATTAAATTAAAATAAACGTCCGTAACATTTTTATCCAATTCTGATTGTTTTAGAACTCATTTTTGAGTATGGCCCTTCGTATACTGGAATATGGCAGATCCTATGATTTCCTGGATTTTCTTCTTTCTGAAAGGTGTTTTTTCAAGTTTGGAAAATGAAACAAGTCTAAAGATGAAAGATGTGGCGAATATTGTTAGTGTGGCAAAACATTAACTTTCTGTGTATCCCCAAATCTCCTTTACTCTTCAGGGCGTGCTAATTTAGACACTGTCATGAAGAAATTTAATGTAGTGGATTCCTGATTCTTGTCCGGTCCTTCAGATGAGACCGTATAAACCGAGGTCCCGTGTCGCAGTAGCTGATGGCACGAAAAAGATCCCTCCCTGCTCAATGGCCCTTAGTGCCGAGTATAGGACAAAAAATTTGCAGCTCTCCACTGGCAAGTGGTGGCGTCTCCATATGAGTGAAAAATTCTCGAGAGGGACGTTAAACAATATACAATCAATTAATCAATTCTGATTCTGGTTCCTTCCTCTTTTAATTCTTTAGATATTTTTTGCAAAAAGTTTGCTTTTTGGATTCCTCTAAAAATTGAACTGCCTCCCCGATTAAAATTTGAACAACAAGACCACTAATATTTAGGAAAATGGCATTTAGATCTCTCTTTGGGATCTTGCAATTCTTTGCTCTTCGCAGTCCTTTGTTGTTTTTGTCTTATTGTAAATTTTGTTTTGAAGATTTTAAGCAATAGATTCAAGTTTCATTATCTCTTTGAATTCCAGACACACGTAGATAAATACAATTTCTGATTTTTAAAAAAAAAAAATAATTGTTTAGATATTCTTACTCGCTGTCGTTTTCATTCATTTTTCAAAACATAGGGTGACCTTTGAGTACTAAGCACTTTTACTGTCAAATGTTTCTTTAAAACAGTGTGAACTATTCCCAAAATGATGTGTATCAAATTTGCTGTGTGTCAATCATACATCATCAGTGATTATTTGTTGAATTTTTGGCAAATATTACATTGGTTGTTATAATTCCTTGTCGCCAAGGAAGATTTCCATTTCTAATGCCCATTGTATCATTTTTCTTCATTGAAATCCGCCTGCTTATGTGTCTATAAAACAGACATTGCTTCCTGGTCAATTCACATCACATCTTTCAGTGAATATTTCTTTGGAATTCAAGTTTTACAGCAGTTTTAATGAAGCGTTTAAGAAGAAGGTATGGTTTCCATACAAATTTTGCCCTGTGATTTTGTAAAAAATGAAACTGGTATAAAAGTTAAATACTCATGCTTTTTAAATAATTAAAATTCAATGCAGAAAAATCATACATGTCATTTTTTAAATGCTAATTATGACGTCATAAACATGTGCATTTTCCCGTATTTTCTGAAAAAGTTGCAGAAGACACCAATTTTCAATGGAATTTTCTTTTAGATAACATTGTCCACAGGCATTGCCCGCAAAGATCTTGAGATATGTGATTTGTTATTGAATTTTGCACAAAATATCAAAAAATTAATGTGGGCGACGGCTGTGGAAACTGTTTTCTAAAGAAAAATCACCCTTGAAATGTGCCATTTTGAGGCTTTCTCTGTTGAAAAAAGAGAAATGCTTCACATTAATGACATCATATTTGCAGAATGGTAAACCTTCATGCCATATTCTTTCCTGATTTATCAGAGTCATTTATTTAACTAATATTTAAGACAGTTTCAAAACTTTTTGATGTCATTACATTTTTAGGGCGCAATAAAGCTAAAACCATACCTTCTTCTTTCACTCTATAGTTTACCGATTCTTCACCATTCATTCTAAATGCAGTGTCTCGAATAGCCCTTGTTTTTCAGCTTCTCGCAATGAAACTATGTGATGAAAAGTAGTCACATAAACTGTTATAAATTCATTAAAGATTCAATAAAGAGAGAAAATCAAGCTTAAAGTCATATGATATCTAAATTGTAGGCCATAGAGTTCAGGACATTAATTATTGAACAGCCCTCAAAAAGTTAAATCCCCTCCTAGTTTTCTAAAATTTTACTTTCATTTTTCCTTAAATATTTATCAGCTTTACATATTTAGGTATGATGTTACTGAGTGCGAGGTAAGAAAATTATTTTCATGTAACCTTTCTACAATTTTATAAATAATGTCAATGTACATAATTTTATCTTAATAATTTTTATCTGATATAGCATAATTTTGCAGAAATATCTGTCATCTTTGCTAAAAGAAATAAGACCAACAGTGGACTCTAATACCAACGAGGTAAATCAATACCTACATGTACTTTAATATTTGATTTGATTTTTGAATACCTGAAATTTCATATCAGTACTCCTTTCTTGCTTGTTAACACTGATACTTTTTTTCTTATTGAAGAAATATGTATACCCTACAAATCTAGTCCCTTTTTAATGATAAGCAATAACAACCAAATGTAAGAAGAATATTTATGCGAAATTATCTAATTTTTATTACTAATATGTTAAGTGATTTTTCCTAGATAACAGCCAAACACTTAGTTACGCAGAAATTACAAGAACTTCAGAAAACAAATGGCTTGATAAATTGGACATGTTTACCAGAGAGTGTATCAAATCGTCACCGAACTAGAAACTATAGAGCCTGTTTATGTGAGATGATGGAGGACTATGTTTACATGACATATAAAGACAACAATATCATTGATGTTTAAACTTATGAACTATGAACAATTTTTTTTTTGCAATATTGAACACAACCTTACAATTTTGACATAACAAAACGTCTTAACAAAACACTAATAATAATTCTCATAGATTTCATTAGGAAACTATACCATTAGCATGATTAGTGAAAGATGTAGATTATTATACAAATGTATTCCTTTTTAAAGGGTGCATATATAAAAAAAGTTTTATTAGAATAAAGTATTCATTTCAAATGAATTTATTGTTCTATCCTTAATGTTCAATGGGTTATGCAACAAAATACAAGTTCCCTTTTAGTAAACACAATGTACATCTGTCCATCTGATCCTTAGTCAATACTATTATGCGACAAGATAACAAGATTACTTTTCAACACAGATACTTCACATATACTATAAAGTTGAAGACGATAGTTGAAGACCTCTGTTGATTTAACCAAATACTCTACAATTTTTCACCATTTGCTTGCAGAGGACGCCAGGGAATACTTTTTTTTCCGCATTGTCAAAATTGTAAATATATAAAATGTATTAACGAAATCTTTGTCTTACATTGTATTACACTGAGAAAGGTGGAGGTAACAAATATGGATTAATCTAAAAACATCCTCAAAGAGAAAAAAAATCTGCAAACATGGCATTAAAAGTACCCCCTGAAAATCAAAGAAAACTAATATCAGGTGCTTAGGATGAATAAGCATCCCTTGCTGACAACCCGTCACACCTGCATTGAGCCGTGGTGGTAGATAGAAAATTCCATAGTAAAGTTTAGCAGGAAAAAATATCACTATTTGGTTTGAAAACAATATACAATGATGATAGTTTATATATATTAACTTAGTCTTTAACGGCCATAGAAAAACACAATGACCTACCCGAAAAACCTTTATTTCAAGACAAGCTGTGAACACTAAAATATTTCACATAAATGTTAAAAGGGCTGGGTGGTTGTGGCCATTGTCAGACTATTTTGATCTGATTTTGAAGAAGAGCTACAAATGAATATGCAACATTGTTCAAAAATGATCACATTTTAAAACTAAAATGTATGAAAATTTTTCTTTGCAAAATGAAAGTTGATAGCTTAACATATTATGTCTCACTTAAAATTGTATCAGATGGTTAATATGTTGACTCCCAGCCTCATCAAAAGCAGTTGCAAGCGACTCGTGTTTTTATGTTTTAAAATTCTGTACATAGACGTCTACCACATTCTCTACCCGATGAATATGTATGAGAACATGTAAACATTGCGTATAAAAAATTGGTGTTAAATTGGTCTTTGCTCTGCGTCTTCAATTAAAGTTTGTGAATCATCCTGAAAGAAAAATAATAAAAAGTAAAACAGACATAACAAGTTATTATCATCTGAATTGTATCATTTTAGAAATTAACTAAAATTTGAATACTTTCATTTCTGTTTTCAATACATATAAACAAAATTATCCCTCTTTTTGGTTTATTCCCCAAGATGCTTAAAAATATTATAATATGAATTAAGACACTCACCCAAACCCTTTGAGATGAACTCTTTTTACGTTTGTCACGTCCTTTATAACAGCAATAGATGCAAATGCATATAAGAAACAGAACTGCAAAACCGAAGCAAATCAGTCCTAGTGGTAAATAGGGTTCAGATTGTTGATTCATACACCTCTTAGGGATGAAGTACCCTGGACCAGGTGCGGTGTGTTTCGGACATACCTCGTAACAGCGACCCTCATATACGTAAAACGAACAATCTTCTCCCAAGATACATTTTTTCTGGTAGATGACGTAAGCATTAGGACAGGCCGACACACAAACCGTCACAGGATTGTCATAATTACTGGTATTAACAAACCGATATGGCTTGGAAGCTGGACAATCGTTACTACAGTTGTGTCCTACCAAAACTTTAGAGGAAGGACACGTGTGAACACACTGGTTACCATCCAGATATAAATTATTGGAACATTTATCTGTACACATTGTCCCAAGTGTAGAATTCTCTACAAAGGTAGAGTTGGGACAAGACGTGCATTTTGTGCACATATCATTAATAATTATCATACTCTTTGGACACTTCCCTATACAGTGGGTCGTGTTTTCCATCAGGACTGTATCATAAGGGCAGGTAGACGAATTCAAGCAAACTATTCCTTGTGTTGTTCGTCTCTGAAGCGCCGAGATATTTGAACACACGTTTACACATTGATGGTTCTCTATGTAGAAGTGTCCCTTAGGACACTTTCTATCACACATATTCCCATTATAAAGGTAATGAGGTGGACATGATTGTACACAAGTGGCATTGTCCATTATAATGTAAGGGTATGTTTTTGGACAATCGGATGTACAATTTGAATGGACATATTTCATATAAGGTGGACATTGATCAAAGCAGAAAGAGTTGTATCGATAAGTATTTCTTGGACACCTTTTAACACATATATGTTCATGTTTTCTATGTTCCAACTTTGTGTAGTTTAAAGGAAATGTTTGTGGACATACCTCGACACATGTTTTATTGAATAGTAAAGTGTTGTCTGGGCAATCAATCACACATTCTTTATTCTTAATCCAGAGAAATTTATCGGATGGACACTTCGCAACACACTGCTGATAAAATATAGATGCCTTTTTATCTGGTTTTGTATTAATAAATGGACGATCTCTCTGACAATATGCTACACATTTTCCACGATATTCAAGAGGTGATCTGCTGGGACAAATAGAAACGCATACATTTTTATAAGATGCCATCATTTCATGGCAACTTTCGGAGCATATGAAAATTTTATTGAATTCTGTAGTTCTGAGAGAAGTAAAGGGACTTGAAGAGGGGCAGGTGACTTGACATGTTTTGTTGTAGAGAAAAGGGCGATCACTGGGGCAAGATAATTCACAGTTGCTGAAGCTTTGCATGGTATAAGATGGACACTCTTTTAGACAATGATAAAGATGGGTTGAACGAAACTGAAAGGGATGAGAAAACGGACACTTCGATGAGCAAGATTTGTTTCCAGAATAGCACACACCTTCACAAGAAAACGCCGTAATATACTTTGTTTCAGACGGACATGACATTACACATGAACTATTGAATCCAACTGTGTATTCAGGACACGAATGAAGACAATTTCCGTCAAAACAATACGGGTATTCTTCCTGGCATATAGACCTAGGGCAATGGAAGTTTTCTAGATCACTGACACAGAACTTGATAAATCCATTGTCTTTAGCAACGGTTTGCGATGGACAAGTGTTGTAGCAATGTTCTCTGTATACATACTGGGTTGTTGGACACGCTCTTTTACATGTATAATGCCAATCCCAGTTGTTTCCTACTCGAACGATTACTTCTGTTGGAAGGCATTTGACATCTTGTCCCTTTATTAAATAGATTGCGTTTAATTAATGTCAATCTTTTGAAAAAGAAAGATTGAACAAGGTTTGTGGATGTAGAATAGCTCAAAGAAGTTTTACAAACACTTTTTGTTATATTATTAACGAAGTAAAATATAGTTTCCTCCACAAAGTTGCCAATTTCAGGAAAATTACAAGTATCAATAAAGAATTTTTTATTTAAAAAGTTTTCATATACGATGTGAGGGTAATAACAGAATTGAACGTTTCTCCCAGTCGGAGAGGCATGCTTTGAATAGTTTACATAGAAGAAAGACATAAGCGTGCTATACCCGAATAAGTAGAAATTTTTTTTGGTTAAAACAACTGACAAATGGTACCAGATGGTACCAAACAATTTTTCACAACGTTTTCTCCAAAAGCAAAAATGACTACATACATTCTCAGTTAGATTCTACGTTCTTTCGCTAAGAGATTTGTTTGATTTATAAACATTACAAGACAGAAAAGAACTAGGATTAAAAGAGCTACCGTAAATTCCCATCTATTTTTGGCTAGTCGTTTGCAATTTCTTCTAGATTTAAAATTAGTCATTGTTAAAGTTACAATACGGCGCATCTCTTCAAAAACATACTTGTTAAAATTTTCCTATAGGATTTGGAATTTTTTTTCATACTCATAAATGTATACACTTTCAGAAAATTACAAATTTCATAAGTAAATAATTCTGATTATTTCATTAAAATTAATAATTATTCATGGCCCATAAATATATACATCGCAACGTGTTCGCGTTCCACATTCCATGCTATAGTTTTCATAAATAAAACAGCATGGTAAGAGAGGGAATTCTGGTAGGCCTTCTACATTAACAAAGTCGACCAAAACGAAAAAAAAAACCAAAAAATATTGCTTGAAATTAAAGAGCAACTTTTCTGACAAAAATTTAGTTCGGAGATTAATTAATATAATCATTGGATGAAGAAGAAACGGGATCTCTGCGACATTCACGTGGGGCTCGCGAAGGTTCTACCCTAAAGGTTTGTTGATACATGCTATTATTTCTCGTATCTCCATGGCTTTCAAAGACCCTTGATTTTCGGCAGATTTTAATTACGTTAATTTTGAATGAGGAGAGATTATTTTTTTCTCAAATGCTTACTTCAACTTTTTACCTTATTCCAGAATGATTTATTGGGTAAATTTGAATGAAAAAGCACACAATTTGCAGTCGTATTGCCGCTTTAAAGGTACTTGGACACAGATTTGAAGTTATTATTTTCTCTATAATATTACGACTTATATATTTTAAAAGCATTTCACACAAAAATTAATTAAAAATCTTATTTCATATAAAAGATATTAATATTTCAAATTTTTTGGCGGATTTGATTGACACATCCTTGCACCTTTACAAATAAATTTTATTCTTAATCCTTAAAAAAAGTGGCAATCTCGTTGTGTATAAATGAAAAATATCAATACTATAATCCAGAAAATTCAGAGTAGACATGTTCGAAAGCAAAACAAACACACAATATATTGTCAGTTCATGCAGTTGTGGTAAGCAGACTGTGACGATTTAGAACGCACCCGGTGAATTCTAAACATAAACAAAAACATAACTCGTGCCCTGTTTACAAAAACTGTGTACATAACACGAGTGTGCTCGATTTGCTAAACCATGTACGCAACTCTTACTTCGGAATGACGATACTTGTGAAGGAGTTCTGCTTTCTAACATCTCTACTTTGAATAAAATTATTTTTCTGGATAAAAGTTTTAAATATTTCTTATTAATACACAACAAGATTGCCACTTTTCCTAAGGATTAAGAATAAGGTTAAAATTTGTGAAAGTGCAAGCATGTGTCAATCAAACCCGCCTAAAAATTTGAAGTTTTAATAACTTTTAAATGAAATAAGATTTTTAATTAATTTTTGTGTGAAATGCTATTAAAATATATAAGTCGTAACATTATAGAGAAAATATTGACTTTAAATCTGTGTCCAAGTACCTTTAATGATTAACAATAACTGCACGTCAATTGAAATAGCCAAAGAAGGCATACATAAATATTACATATTATAGTAAAAATACTTACTTGTATGGAAGGCACAAAAAATGTCAATCTATAGATCAAATAAATTAAATATTTTATTACTTGATGCATGATTCTGTATGTAGCGATCAAGTTAACAAACAAGTGTATGGTGTCCTTTATGCCAAATAATAATCATTTTCTCAAATAGGTTAAATTTAGCAATATGTAGCAGGAAATGTTATGATTTTTACCCAAAGAAAAATGTAATGAAGACAAAAAATGATAACTACTGCATAAAGATCTAACATGTAGGACCTTAGGATGCCTTAGGTACAGACCAAAATCCAACAAATCTCAAAAGATAAACACACAATCTGGATTCCGTAATATTTAGAAATAAAACCGAAGGTAGCCTTTCCAGATAACGCAATCTTTGCCAAGAACGATAACTCTAATCTATTGCAGAATTTGTTCGGAGTCGGCCACGTTGACTTCTTTTGGCTCGGTGTAAGTAAGTGTTTTTTGTGATTAATTATATAAAATAAGATATGACCTTGACATAACAAAAATTGAGTAACGTTGGTAAATTTTGAATAAAAAATATCTTTCAGACTGTGTTTTGTCTTTGAAAAATTCCGTAAAGTAAGTATAATTGTATTTTATTACGCGTCATGAAAATATAAATAAAAAAAATTGGAGGATAATGATGGATTACGCTGAAGTTTTATTCATTTTCGTAAGTAGTAAAGATACTGTTTCAATATATACGATGACTGAAATTTTGGAAGGTATGGATTTTTCTTGCTGATTTTTTAAAGAATAATTCCTCATGAATGTGACATGGAAAATGGAGATTAAAATGGCAACATGAGGGCACACACATAGTTTCCTTCAAGAATAAATTGTTATTTGTAAAATTAAGATAT